ATGTGATTTGAACTTGGCCAATCAGATACCCAGGTCCAGGCCTCTGAATTTGGTGTGTGAGAGCAGAATGGAGGGTCAGGTGGGGTTCATTTGTGGCCACATCCAGCCTTGGAGGCAGATGTGACCTGTGGGGAAGGTAGAATTAGCTAAGCCATCCCTGAAAAAGGACTGTTGCGGAGTCTGTTATTGTGATATAATAAGAAATATATTTGGTCTCTATCCCCAGCTCCTGAAACAGAGCTCCTAAAACCCTTTTTAAATATATTTAAATATATATACTTATATTTACATTTTATATTTATATTTGATTTCAGAGAGAAAGGGAGAGGGAGAGAGAGAGATAGAAACATCAATGATGAGAAATCATTGATTGGCTGCCTCCTGCACACCTGCTACTGGGCATTGAGCCTGCAACTTGGGCATGTGCCCTAACCCAGAATCAAACCGTGACCTCCTGGTTCATAGGTTGACACTTAACCACTGAGCCACCACTGCTGGGCTCCTAAAAGCCCTTTTAATCTTCTAGGTGACGAGAGTGATAGGAAAACCTCTGTTATAATGTCTGCTTTTTGTCCCCAGCTCCTGGGACAGCTGCATACGGATACAAATGAAAGGAGCATCTTTTGTTACTCATAGCAAGGCTCTCTCGACCCCACTGGAGCTCATGTCAATGAGCTGACACTTGGGTAGCCCCTCAGGATAGCGCCGGTGGCCAGGGGAAATAACCAGGTGATAGATCATGCCTATCTAATGAGGCCTCCAAAAAAAGCCTAACTGAAGGGGTTCAGAGAGCTTCCAGGTTGGGGAAGACAGGGGGTGCTGGGAGGGCAACATGCCTGGGAGGGCCTGGGAGCTCTGCACCCCTCCCTCACACCTGATTGATAGCCAGTCATTTAGAAATACAGGTGACAACCTGGGACTTGCGATTGATGTGTGATGTGGGGGACAGTCTAGTGGGACTGAGCCCCTAACTGGCGGAATCTGATGCCAGCTTTAGGTAGACAGTGTCAAATTGAGTTAAAGTGCAGGCTACCCAGTTGGGGCTGCAGAGAACCGGGGAATCGGTTGGTGTGGAAACTCACACGCCTGGTGTCAAAAGGGGTGTGGGGCAGCTGTGTGGGTAATAACCTAGCACCTCTCTGAACTGGTCTCAGAGGCTCATTTCACTCACAGGACTCTCTCCTGTTTTCCCAGCGGCCCTGCTTCTGCCTGTTTGAGTCTTTACCTCCTGCCACTTCTGTGAACACCTTACAATGATGTTGTCTTTTGATGCTTACAACCAAGAGCCCTGGCTGAAATGAGGGGGAACGTACAACTCATCTGGGGAGGCCATATGTATAACTGAGGGCTGAGCAGTGTCATGAAACAGTGTGACTCCCCTCCCCACGACTCCATGTGTCCTTTAGAGGGGCTGGTGCCGCCTCCAGGGAGAACCAAGGGGCGGTGACCATTGTCCTCTTAAAGAAGCTTTTACCAGGAGTCCATCTGCATTCATAGCTATGTTTCCTAATTTACAGTCTACTACAGGCAATGCTTGGTGAGGCCATAACAACTTCATGCATGTAAACTTACACTCTTCCTTCCAGCAGAAGTGCCATCCATGGGTCCTTGTGCATAAACTGACACACTCTGGTTGTAGGCTTGGTGACACCCTCAGTACGCTCAACAGAGGAGCCACAGACTGCTCTGCACAGGCATGTGAGGCCCTGCCTGCAGTCCAGGCCGGCCCTGCTCCCAGCAACAGAGAAGCGGATAGTAGGCAATGGTGGGCACATGAAGGCAGGAAGACATCCCATCCCCCCAGGCCTGCTTTGCTGAGGAAACTCGGATCCTGCCGGATCCTTAACCACAATATGGCCAATTCTTCATAGCAGAAATGTCCCCGCAGGAGACAGACCACAGCAGCGGGCCTGCTCCTGGGGCACAGTGCCTCTGGCTCTGTGTCTGCTGCTGAGCCTTCTGCCACCTCTGAGCATTCACCCACTTCTGAGGCTGTCATGCTCCTCAACCAGGTCAGGGGTCGCTCCCGAAAGCCAGCACCTCTGTTGAGCGTGTTGCCTGTGTCACTAAGCCTCAAACCCTCCTGAGAGAGAGTCATCCCCTGAGCTCAGGAGTGGCCTAAGGACAAGCAGCATCTTCCCCATCCATAGCCAGCGCTTGTGTGGGGGGTGGGGGGCAGTCAGAGGGCTGCAGGAAAGGCAGCTGAAGCCCCCACTCTGACTCCAAGTCTTGGCCAGGCCAGGCCACCTCCCTCCTCTCCGCAGAGCCGCATGTTCCCCCCTCCTACCTGAGACCAAGGCAGGGCCCATGTGACTGAGGCTGAGATCAAAGGGGGGCCCCAGCTCCCCAGGCTGTGGGTCTGCATTCTGAGACCAGAACCACCCGCAGGGGGAGCAGTGAGACTTGGGGAGTCACCTTGCCTCACTGCCTGGGTCTCTGCCCCTCTTTTGAAAAATGGGGTGATGCAGCATCCACCCTGCAGAGGCATGAGAGTGAGGGAAGGGCTCGGTGGACTAGAGCCTGTTTTATAAACAGAAAGAAATTCAGGGTGGCTCAGGCCATACTGATACTTCAGCCTTTTACTTTCCTTTTCTAAAGCAGATAATGCTTTCCCCCCAGGTGGATATGGGGTCATTCGGCCTGGGACTCTGACTCGGAGCTGTGACAAGGCAGGCTTTCTGGTCTGGGTTTACTCATAAATCCTGGTGCTCAACTAAAAGAGGGAGCTCAGGGCCAGGACTCAGGACTGACCTCCGGCGGCAGCGTTGGATGGAGGCAGTGAAATCCCCGCCTGTGTTCTGCAGACTTGTAGGAGCACCAATGCTGGGGCTGAGAGGCTGGGGGACACAGGCCTGCGCCCCACAGAGCTGCTCACAGGAGCCAGGGAGCTTCCAGGAGCTTCCAGAGATTGTGTTTTCTCTCCTCATCAGAGGTTGCCATGGTGACCGAAGCAGGAGGAGACACCCGCTGGTCTGGCTCTACACAGATCATCTATCCTGGCTCATCTTTATCCAGGTCTTGGTCAGAGCTGGTCCTGGGAGCGCCTGAGAGGGGGGAAGGATATCCAGAGGCCAGACCCTTGGCACCAGTTATGTGTGCATGGTGGGAGAGAATTGTGTTGGGATGTTGTGTGTGCTTGTGTACAGGTGGGGGGATAGGGGTGGGTTACATTGCTGCGTGTGTATCATGATGGGCAAGGGGGGATGCTAGTGAGAGAAGTGGGGTGGTGTCAAGAGTGCACATGATAGTGAGGTCTTTCCCAAATGTGCCCTTGATCTACACCTCAGGGGAGAGCACACCTGCCGGTTGCACGCTGCCCACAAAGAACCCTCCACTTCCACTTCCTGGAAGGTATGGATTATTCCTCCTGTCCTGGCAGCAAACCATTGTGCGAATCCAGCCATTTCTTCTAGGCTGTGTTCCCTGCCCTCAGGCCTTGGCTCTCTCACCTGACTTCTCCTTGAGGACAGTGACTTTCTCGTGTTTACTGCTGTGCCTGGCACATAGTAGGTGCTCCGTAAACTTGTTGAATGAATGAATGAATGAGTGATTGAATGAATGAGTGATTGAATGGATGAATGAATAAAGGAGAACTTTTAGCCCTTTGTTTGTCATTGGCCCATTTGGGAACTCCCTGATCCTCACCAATTCTAAAGCTCTGCTTTAGGGCTTAACTGAAGGCTTGCCTCCTCTCCTAAGCCCTCAAAGACACCCCACCTTCCAGGCCATTCCTTGTCTAAATTCTGGCACCGGCTTCCATTACGCTCATGGCTCACTGGCCTGTATGACCTTGAACTGTGAGAGTGTCCTGTCTCCTTGACCAGATGTCTAGCTCCTCAATGGGAAGGGCATTACTTTCTCTTTTGTGTCCTGAGCACAGGCCTCTGCAAACAGCAGATGTTCAATGAATGCTGGAGACTGCAATGTTGTGAATCAGTGAACAAATTCTAGCCTGAATAGTTCACACATCCAGGTGGTTTCCTGCCCAGAAGACCTCCTGCAGGTTCATGGGTAAGACTTGCAAGATTAAGATGTTTCTAGTGAGTCTGAATTAGGGGGTGGGGGCAGGGATTTGGGGGAGGCTGGTCTAAACTCTATGCTTTATCCTTTCCCCATAAACTCATGTTTGAATTTGACTGTCTTCGAGCCTAGTTCACCACCTCATTCTACAGTCATTGCTCTTTCTGAGTGGAACTGACCACTTGCTCTCCAAACAAAATTTTAGCACTTTTCTACACCAGTCTTGGGTACTGACCTTTGTCTTCCTACATTGCATGACTTAGTTACATTTCTGATGTACCTGTTAGGCGGTCAGCTATGTCTTTGTTTAGCATCCCGCTGTGGGCACCACCCCTGTTTCAGGTGATCTGAAGGGACTGTGAGTTATAGCTCCCTGCCCATTGCCACCACCCCCAGGAACACTCATGTGACCCAGGCAGACATTCCTTTAGGTCTTACTCTGGCAAGAGTGACTGGTCCATTGGATGAACACCTGGCCAAGCAAGGCCATCTGGATATTTTCATAGGATTTAAATATAGACACATAGAAACAGGGTGTCTTTTCAGATGAGGTAGCTCAGCTGGAAGAATCTAAACCTGAAGTTTCCAGGGTCCATCTTTCTCAGCCTCATGGAGAAAGCTCCTCACTCCCCTTGATTTTCCTGCTCCAGGCAGCCCCCGGCCACCTTTTGCCCGGGGTCCTAGCACTACTGCTGGGAGATGGGAATGAAGACAGCCCTTTTGGACACCCAGCCAGGGGCAGGAGAGAGGAGAGCTCCTGGCCTGGGAGATAGCCCCAAGGGCCCCATCCCACCTTCAGTTACTATGGCAACTCACTTCCCCTCTAAAGCTCCCACTTCTCTCCCTCAGAAATGTGTTTTGGTGCAATGGCCTTTGCACTTCCTTGTACCCCAAGCACAGACTCTAAACCACAGCATAGACTCTGTCACCATGTCACAGAGCCACACCCACTGGGAGCAGAGGCAGAGGCACCGACCTACCTGTACTCCTGGATGTGTCACTCAGTGCAGGTGGGTTTGCAACATCCTGTGCTAATAGCTGTACCTCAGCGTATTCAAAACATCTGTTTCCACACCTGAAACAACAAGAGCAATCACTAACATTTTGAAATCACATTGCAGTATACAGATTCCGCACACCCTCTACCCGCCCCCCCCACCACCACCCCCGCCCCCGCCCACACACACACAGGATGGCCTGGGCCGGAGAGACCTTCCTGAGAGTTATTACAGAACAACCACAAACCAGAGAAGTCGCCAGACTTGCCAGGGTCACACAGCACCGTTAGTGTGGCTGACTTGGGTTGATCTTGGTTCCAGGTTGAGCTTCTGTTGTCTCGAATACAGGGAAACCTTACTTTGTCTCACTAAGCTATTGTAAGGCTAGAATCTATAAAAAATACTTGTTACGACCTTTGCACATTCAGAGCTCTCAGTCTGTGCTGAATAATTGATGGGTGCTGCTCCTGCCTGCTTAGAGCAGATTCACAGGCCTCTGCCATAGGCTGGGAATGTGGAGACCTTTCCCATCATTTTGCCCAGTGTAAGAATTTGCCGAGGAAATCACCAAGAAAAAGTTGTGTTCCCTGTTGGCCGGGGCGGGGGGGGGGGGGGGGGCCTCCCGGGAGCCATAGATCTAATCTAATTTATTGCCTCATTGAAAGGAGAGGAGAAAGTGCAGGCTGCTGCAGGGAGGGGGCTGCGGGCTACCCAGAGTCTCTGCCACTGTGGCTTTTCCAAGGCTGTGAGGCCCTGGGAAAGGGTTGCTCTGCTCTGACAGGCAGGAGAAAGGTGCCTGGGAATCTGAGAGTTGGGTGGGGAGGCACGGAATCAGCCCTGGGAAAGGAAGACTATGAAGCAAGGTTTTCCTCCATGAAAACACTTGACAAGGCAGAGATGTCCGGGAAGGGCAGAGGCAGCCTCTGTGGCCATCCCTGCCGACGGCTGCATGTGACCATAGAAACTTTCTGTCCAAAGGCCATGGCAGCAAGGATCAGGGCGCAGAAAGTAGACACAGGGTGGCCTTTAAAGCAATTTTCAGAGATCAAAGTAGGCACCGTTTGAGCCGGTATTCTGGCTATGAGAACTGGGAACAGCTGGCTAAAACTTGCAGAACCATTCACAGCTCAGGACACCAAGGATGCACAATCCTCCCGCTGCGGGATGCGGCCTACACAGTGTGTCCTGACTGGCATTTGTCTCAGTCCCCCCAAACAAGACCGACTTAGGACTATCCCAACCCACAGGATCATTGGCTCCAACTTCAAATGAGCAGAATCAACAAGTCCCAGCTTAAGTGGGTTTGCTCTGATGACTGGCTTTCTCTCTCATTCTGCAAGTTCCAACTCAATGGTTTCACGAGGACTTCCTAAGAAGTCTCATGGTGTGCTCCGTGCTCATGCAAGTCACTTCACTTTCATACTATGTCTGGACCTGCCGGCCTCCCAGGCGGCTGAAGGGCCCTTGGAGTTTCCGTGTGTGGGCAGGGCCCTGTCCTAATGACTCCAGGATGGGGAGTTGAGGGTGGTTCCAGCTTGGGCACAGCCTGACCAGCAACATTTGGGTGCTGCCTGCCACTCACCCAAGGTGCCCCCACCCTGGGGCTTGGAGGGGGCATTTGGCTCAGGCACTGCACAAGCAGAACAGAAAGCAGGACGTGTGACCTCCTTCCACATTACTAAGAACACTTAGTAATTCTATGACCTTGGGTCATTGATTTAACCCCATAGTTCTCAGGTTCCTCATCCATAAGTTGGAGATCATAATGGAACCTACCTCAAAGCTTTGGAAGGATCCAATGAAGTAGAGTGTATGCAAATTCTTAGTTTGGCCTCTAATAACACTGTCACCCCACTCCCGCGGACTATGGCCAGCACTTTAGCTGTCTTTCTGTCGGCTCAATACCAGGCATTTGATAATTAGCAGAGTAAACATTAGAAACGCATTCTCCTTGGTGAAAGCAGAGGTATTCAAGACATGTGGGTTGGCCAAATGAATTCTGAGACACACTTGACTCTTGTAAGAGCAGGTGAAAGAATGCAGTGAGACCTCAAGGGATATGCGGTCAGGCATCTAGAGACGCAGATGGCTGCAACTAGCTCACAGAACAAGCTGCTGGACCCATTTGCAAGTAAATAGTTGCTCAGAAAATATCTGCATATGTGGCAGAATTTGGCCAAAGGCTTGCTTTTATTCGGCTTGATAATGAGGTCTGCCTTCACGTCCTCAACGTTTTCAGTGGCTGCTGTCAAACAAATAAACCAAACACCCAACACAGCAAAACCTGAGAGTTGTGACCAAATGGATTCAGGTCAGTTCACAGTATGGTGCTGTCTCCAGAGCATAGCACATGTCAATGCTCACAGGAGAGGGAGGTAGTGCCACTTTTAACTTGATGGTGGTCAGGGGTGCCAGGGCCTCACTGGCCTCCAGTCCAGGATCCTGATCCAGAACCTTCCTGGGTACTCATCCCCCTGAGAACTCCCCAGTTGGCCTTCTGGGTCACCCTGGGTCAGACTCACAGGCTCTGTTGGCTTTCTGGAATGAGGAAATGCTGCTCAGTCTTCAAGAAACCCTGAAACTGTGGCTGAGGCAAAGGTCACTGTCTGGGCCCATGATGTATCTGGAAAATCAGTTCTTCCCTTCGAGTTCCCACAGGACAAGCCCTCTGAGGAAGTCTTTGGGGACCCATTACCAACTCCCACACTTGGACCAGAATACCCGAGGAGAATTTCTGGCCATACTAGAGAAATTGCCTTGAAGAAATGGACTCAGTCTGCACCCTGGGAGAAACTGAACTTCCACACCTTCCTGGGGCTCTGCAAAGGCTCCTGGGCAGGGACCCAGGTGTGAAGAGGCCCCTGATGCTGGAGAGCTCACTACCCTTCAACCACTAGAGATGGGAGAGCCCTTCCTTGATGGGCAGGGCCTACTGGGAGATGGGCTGCTGCTCTTTGCACTCCCTTCTCCAAGGAGTTTTTCATGGGTGAGCATTGTTGCAGGGTGCATGTAGGAAGGTCAGGCAGCATTCAGGAGGAAAGAAGATGGGCATGGGGCAGCCCGAGCCTCTAAGTTCTCCTCTTGCCCACCTTCCTTCTCCCTTTTTTCCTTCCTCATCAATGAGAGAAGTATGTGTGTCTTGGGGGAGAGGAAGGATAAAGATGGGGAAGTGCTGGGCTTTCATGCTCCAGGGCCACTCTCCTAACCATGAAGAAGCTCATATGTGTATCATTCCCAGCTCAAGTTGGTAGCTTGACCCTCTGCAGCAGCTCACATTCTGCAGGCTGATCAGAAAGTCAGCCAGGCTTACATGTCACCCCGCTTCTGAGCCTCTTTCCCACCTCCAGTCTCACCCTGCTCCCATGTACCCACTGCCCTCATTCAACGCATCCTCACCCCTTCAAGGTCTGCTTCAGAACTTGCCTTTTCCTCCTTACTCCTCTCCCCTACCCAAATCCTAGGCTACATTTGCATTTTAAGAGCCATCCTGGTTAATCCTAAAGAGTTTCCAGTTCATGAGTGAGGACTCCCCCGCCCCTAGTATGTAAGCCAGAGAGCAAACTGCTCAGATTATCATTCGTCTTCTACCTTTGCAAATAGCTCAACCTCCCAGTCAAGCCAAGCGCCATTGTGGGGAGAACATACCCCCAGCGGGTCGTGGGAATTCCAGATGCTGTTATTGGGCCAACAGAGTTCGCCCCTAGCAAAATTTACCTATGGAAAACTACTCCAGTGTGTGAGCAGCCTAACAAGCAGTTTCTTCCTCGTTGGTCTGGGGCTCTGTGGATCTACCTCAGGAAATTCTTAGGCTCTGCCTTAATTTACTTCCCGGCCAGAGTTCCTATTAGAGGCCACGCTGGTGAATACGGGAGCGGGACTGATAATCTAGTGGAAATCCATGCATGTAATTGGGAGAACAAGGAGAGATGAGAACAAGTGCATGAGAACTTGAGGGTCTTCAGATGGACAAAGGGGAAAGGGGGCGGGGACGGAGAGGACCCTTCTCTCTGCTTCAGGCCAGCAGGGCAGAAGCGAGCCAGGCCCGATTACAGAGCCTTTCAGACTCCTGATACAAGAAATGGCTTTCCTGGCTCCACAGGGTCTCTGGAGATGGCAAGAACCTTCCCAGGTCACAGGACGAGCCAGTCACACAGCTCTGGGTGAGGCTGGCTTCCACCCCCCTCTAGGTCTCTTTCCTGGGATCTGCTAAAGCAGCCACCCTTTAAGGGCACTGTCTTAGTTAGGAGTCAGGCACTCGAGGTTGAATGACTCTCTCTGCTCTTCAGCAGCCACATGAACTGCACCAAGTTACTAAATTTCTCCAGCCTGGTTGGCAAAATGGGGATATTATGTCCCCTGGAAGGACAATTGTGAAGATAAAATGACCAAGAGATGTGAAGGCATCTCAAGCAGTGCCTGGCTGGTAAATGCACTCAGGACAGAAGAGCTGTCATCTTTCCCCTCTAATTACAGCCCGAGGGTGCTGTGCCAAGCCCCTCAGACATGCTGGCAGCAGCTCCCCCCCTGCGGATGCGGTCAGGCCAGAGGGGCACGCCACCTCTGCTCTCCCAGGACTTTGCCTACACTCTGCACTCCCCATCTGTGCCTAGTGGGCAGCAGGACTGCCTGGGCCAGAAGGGAAGCTGCTTCAGAGCCTGGCCTCCCTGAGCACTTTGGGGATGGCCCTGTGGATGGGAACCTGGGCTCATCCCACCTGAGACTCACCAGGAATGGCTGGGAGTTCGTGGAAACCAACCTGCCTTCCAGACCTTCTCAGGAGGAACCACACACACCAAGGCGAATGAAAACCAGATGCAGGCAATAGGGGGTTGTGTGTGTGTGTGTGTGTGTGTGTGTGTGTGTGTGTGTGTTTTAAAGCAGAGCATCCCACCTGCCTTGATGGGAGGAGACACCTGTTCGCTCCTGGGAACTACAGAACTTCCTGCGCTCTCCCAGCGACCCAACCTCAGGGTGGCCTGCTCATTCCTGCGGGCCCTTTGGGCTGTGCATTTCCCCCCCCCCCCCCCCATCACATGAGCCTCAGCCCTACAGAGCACCCTTGGGCCCAAGCGCCCTCGGTGGGTTGGTCACGTCTCCTGAGTTACAAATGCAGCTCGGGGCAGGAACTTTGTCACTGAGTCTGAAGTAGACAGAAGGGACAGGGTGGGCTTGGAGATGACCAGCGGTCTGGAGAGGCTGAGTAGGGCTCCTCCCTCTCAGATCCGGTACCCCAAATCTCCACGCAGATCTTAACCCTGGAGGTAGCCAGCTGCGATTTGGGAGATGGAGTCCAGCCACTTGTCTCACGCCCCCCCGAGGGAAGAGTCCCAGAGGCCGGTGAGGTGGGGTGTGCCCTTACAGCGCCCTGAGATCGGTGTTCCCCGCGGATCCAGGCAGGCTGCTTCCCGCCCCTGCCGCCGGGGAGACCTGCGCGCCCCGAGCCCCCTCCCGGCCCGCACCGCCGGCCACAGCCACATCCCCCAGCCGATTCCCAGCCCTGGGATCGCCTCCGCTCCGGCCGCAAACCCACCTTCCGGGGTGCTCAGAGGCCCCTTCCAGGGGTGTCACCGAGGTCCCCGCCTCCAACTCCCGACGCGGGCTCCCCGCTCGGCAGCCTCTGGCCCGGCCTCAGGGGCTAAGCCGGCTCCTGCCTCTCTTTCACTCGTGCTCCCGTGAATTCTCAGCACTATTTTTTTTAAGGGACTTTTTTTTTTTTTTTTTTTTTTTTTGCCTTGCGTCAGGACGGTTGCCTGGCGACGGCAGAGCTATTCGGCGAGCAGCCCTTTCAGCCGGATCCCCTCCAGCCTCCCATTCAAGCCTCTCCTCCCGCGGCTCCGGGACCTGGGCGCGCGGGGTCGGGAGACGCGCACCGGGTCCTAACGCCCCGCTAGTTGCACGTTCGCCGCCCAGACCTGGACCAGAGCGGCCGCCCCGCCACACGCATTTGCCAAACCCTAGACGAAACCAAATCTAAATATCCTTTTCTTTTTCCTTTTTTTTTTTCTTTACTCGAAACCTAAGCAATGTTCCCATAAGCATGACAACGTGGCTTTGCCACGGTCAGCAATTTGCCTGCGTGGAGGGGCCAGGAGAACCCGTCGGGCACCGCCAAGCCCGGAGCTCACACTCCACCCACAAGCGGCTGGAGTTCAGACTATCAGCAGCAACTCCCACTACCCAGTGCCTATCGTGTGCCCCACTGTCAGTGAAATGCCCAGCAGGCAGAGGGGGCATTTCCAGCTGCAGATGAGGAGACGGGGGCTCAGAGAGGCCAAGTAGAAACCAGAAATGGGGCGGAAAACAGACGTTCTTCCAGGTCTGTCTCCTAGACCAGCTGGGAGTAGCTCGAGGGACCTGCCCCCAAGCATGTGTTCCCCCTACTAACCACAGGGTGCCTCATGGCATATAATACTATGTGCTGTGTCAACCACTAGAGGTGGTTATATTCTAAATCTAGCTGCTGCTCCGCCAGAGCCTAGAGTCCAGGTACCTAGGACACAAGACAGACGCCAGGGCAGCCCCATCCTGGCTTTCAGGATCAATCTTTTTTAAAAAAATTCTTTATTGATTATAGTATTACATATGTTCCCCCCCCCCCCCCCCCCCCCCCCGCATTGACCTCTCTCTGGCCATTTCCACCCCCAGCATGTGACAGCAGACAGGGTTCTCCAGTCCGGACCCTTGGGCTCCGCCTCCTCCTGGGACCACTGGCTGATTCCCGAGGCCCTTGTGCTGCCCCCTGGTGCCTGTGTCCTTCACTGCTTCTCCCCGTCAGGGCCCTTGACCCATTTCCTTTCCCCCTTCATTAGCACCTCCGCTAATGGACTTGCCTAAGGAGGCACCCTGCTAATGTGAGCACCTCTTCATGCTAACGGAGTAATGCTTCCAAGCTAGCAAGTCTACTTGAACAGGCGTCTTCGGGAGAGTCACAGCACCCACCCAACCTTTTGATTCCAGCTCCTAAACAGTGATCCAATCCTCCACTTCTTCCATCCCCTCTGCCTCTGCCCTGGCCCAAGGCACCGCCGCTTGCCCCACCTCCAGCAACAGCCTCTTATTGACGCCTGCGCCCACTCTTGGCTCCCCACCTGCCTCCCCCTGAGCCAATTATTCCTCCACAGCCAGAACAAATTCTTTGAAATGCAAATCCGACCCTGGCTTCTCCCTGCCTAAAGCCTCCCAACAGCTCCCATTCCTCCGGGATTAAAATCCAGCGATTAAAACCCAGCGTGGTCCACCAGGCCTGCGTGGTTCAGCTCCGTCCACTGGGTCTGCCTTGCACCTTGCCTTGATGTTCTGCTCTCCAGACAGACGCTCTTCCAGGTCCTTTTACACACCTGGTCCTCCCACACAGGGCTGACCCAACCCTGCCTCCTGAGAGAACCCCAGGTCACATGTCCTTATAGCCTCACCAACCTCTCCTTCATGGAGGAGCTGTCCTCTTATCTTTTTCGGTGAGGTTATTTGATTGGTATCTGTCTCCCTCCGAGGCTGTAGGCTCCGGGTGGCAGGAACCACATTTGCAAATTGAAGGCTGGGTTCAGACTTGGGGACTTGGCGTCCTCCTGTGGGGGGTTGTCCCTGACCACACTGCCCTGTGCTGAGTACTGCTCGCCAGTGTGATCTGGCCCCAGCATGTGGTGGTGCTCCAATGCCTTCTTGGTGGAGCCATTCCAGCCCATCTGGAAGTGCTTTCTCCCATCTTCAGCCTCCTCGCCCCTCATGTGGCCTGGGCTCCTGGTGCTTTCTCGTGGATGCATTGTCTTCCTTCCTCACATAGATAATCTGCCCCAGGCCGGGACAGGTCTTACCCTCATGCCTCCCTTTCTGCCTGGCATTTGCCTCGTTAGGGGGTGGTCAGTGATGAGGACCAGGAGAGCCAGCGAGGGAAGGAAAAGGAAGAGGAAGAGCCGGGTCTCTGTTGGAATAGTCTCAACTCCAAGCAGATGCAGTGCTGAATGAGTTCTTGGTAGAACTCTAGCATAGGCTAGTATGTGGCCATACAAATAATGTTTTTTAAAAAAAATATTTGATGGCATAGGAAAATGCTAATGATTTCATGCTAAGTAAATAAGACCAGAACACCAAATGTCTAAGTAAGCAAAACATTGTGGAAAGTTTAATTCTAATATCTAATTCCTCTAAATGTGTAGAAAAAAAGATTGGGAGGGTATATGTAAATATTAGCTGTGGTTATCTCTGGGTGGCAGGATAACAGAGGATTTAAAATTTCTTCTATAGACTTCTATTAATGTTCTATGTTTTCTACAACGAATAGTTTTTGTCACTGGCAACTTCAAAAACACTATTACAAAGAAAAGATGACCCTGCGTTTGGGGTAGCTGATGCCTGCTGCTTTGTGTGGAGCTGCCATTTATATGTGAGGCTGGACAGGAGCCCAGTGATGGGTGGAGGTATCCCCGGGCCTAGAGCCACAGGGCCACCTGGGGACTCTTCCCCTCCAGCTGGCCCTTTGGACCAGGGAATACTGGTCAAGCCCATGAGTCTGGACTTGGTGACAACGAACTGGTTGTAGAGCTGCCTTTTGGATCAGCCCTATTGATCCAATTTGATTTTTAAGATGTAAGATGTAATGTTGTGTGAGATGGCTGGCCCAGGCATCTGGACCATTTTAGTGAATGCACATGTCAGCCAACAGCCACCTCACTGACTTTCCATTGGTCCCAAGACGAGTGAATATGGTCTCCTTTGGACCTACAGAAATCCTGTGAAATAAGGGAGTCAAGAAACATTTTCCTGACCTAGCCAGTTTTCTCAATAGTTAGAGCGTCTTCCTGTGGACTCAAGGGTCACAGGATCAATTCTGGACAAGGCACGTATCTGTTCCTCAGTTGCAGGCTCGATCCCCAAGTACAGAAGGCAACCAATTGATGTGTTTCTATCACATCGATGTTTCTCTCTCTGTGTTTTCCCTCACCCCCCTGCCCCCACTTCCACTCTCTCTAAAAATCAATGGAAACAATATCCTGCCCTAGCCAGTTTGGCTCAATAGTTAGAGCGTCAGCCCACAGACTGAAGGGTCCTGGGCTCAATTTCAGTCAAGGCCAGGTACCAGTTGCAGCTTGATCCCCAGCCCTGGTCGAGGTTGCATGCAGAAGAAAACCAATCAAAATGTGCCTGTCTCACATAGGTGTTTCTCTCTGTCTCTTCCCCCCTCCTTTCCACTCTCTCTAAAAATCAATGGAAATATCCTTAGATGAGGGTTAATAACAACAAAAAAGAGAATATAGCCTGGGTTGAAGATTAACAACAACAAAAGAAACATTTATTTTATCTTACCTAGGAGGACGCTAAGCTTGAAGAGGTTTGGGGGCTTACTCACATGGCTAGTAGTGGCAGGGCTCCCAGGGCTGTCCGGCTCTGAGTCTAGGGCCCTTCATACTGCATCACACTAACCCTGCAGTCCCCCCCCCCCCAAAAAAAAAATAGCCAGGGCAGCCTCAGCGACCACAGTGTGCTTGAGCCATGCTCGGTGGTCAGGGATGACCTGATTAATAAGGTGATGTTTGAGCAAAGATGTGAAGATGTGGGAGTTGGTTATGACGTATTTGGGGGAAGGCTGTTCCAGGCAGAGGGACCAGCCAGTGCAAAGCGTGCCTGTCGCAAGCAAGGAAGAGAAAGGGGCCTCACACTGGAGTGCAGCGAGCAGGGGAGAGATGAGGGCTGTGGGAGATGATGCTAGAAAGGTGACAGGGTGGGGGTGCTGGAGCAGATCCCATGCATAGACCATTGTAAGGACTCGTCTTCCCCCAAAGGAACACAGAGAATGCACAGCTGGGTTGGGTCTCTGCCTTCCTGTCACTCCCACAGCACAAAGCACTCTCTAAATTAGTCTTCCCAGTTCCCACCGGAGTTTTTAAGCTACTCAAGGGCAAACTCCATTGTCTAAGGCTCCTGGCTATCCTTCCTGGTGATTAAAATTTGGTCCCTATTGACTGAATGAGAGGAGGAGGAAATATATGTCTGATTGGCTCTATTATACGTAGGACATGGAGGGGGGTGACACCCTCCCCTGCTTCAGGGAGCAATTAGAACTCACAGTCCTGGGCCGGAGTCCACCAGCTTCTAATCTGCCTTTGAGAGAGACTTTTCCATTCCGGGGCCCAGCGTTTCAAGAGGATCCAGGAAACGTTTGTCATTTGGCATTGCTGCTGGCGTCAGGAATGGCTTTTCTCTGCCCTTATCTCTCAGGAGGGGCTGAATCAGGCTGAATCACAGAAGGCTCCCATCTTGTAGGGAACCCATTAGTTCAATGAACAGTATGGGTGGCTCGCTCTGTGCCACCTGGTGCTGAGCATGGGGAGACGGTGCCTGCGGCTTATTCGTGTAGAAAGATAATTTTGAAAGCAGCCACCTTGGAACTGGAGTTCAGAAGATGACAGCTGCCATCTGAGCCCAAATGAGGGGGATGAGTGGGAGCTGGCTAGGAGAGGCGGTGGGGAGGCCTGAGGGAGAGCGTGGCAGGAGAGGAAATAGCATTTGCAAGAGCAAGTTGAAGACAGAGAGGGATTCGGCGTGGCTGAGAAGAAGAGTGCAAGAGGGTGTGATGGACCAAGGTAGGGTCTGTGGACGTGGCCCTGAAGGTGAGGAGTGAAGAAGGGAACATGTCATGGCTTTTATATCTCAGAGAAGCTGGATGGATAAGGGGACAAGGCAGGAGGCAAGGAGACCAGTAAAGAGG